AGCACAAACTTCAAGTAGAAGTGAAGTTTTCGAATTTCTTTACATATGACTCACAGATTGTCCTGCTCAGAGAACAAAACTCCACCTAAATCATCCACCTGAGCTACAAATCACCATCGTCACAAAAAATCCCGTTTTCCGCCTTAAATGTTTACACCTTATCACTTAGGTGTACAAGCCACCTGCTTGTACAAGTCATCTACAATAAATACGGAACATTAGCTTAGTGGTTAAATCATTCACTTTTAACAATTACGTAGAATGTTCAAAACCCGCTTCGACTTAATAGGTTAAAGCAGTCCTTTAGTACGAGTAAATCTTACATAGAATATCTGATATAAAACTAATTACATGAAAGTATACTTAAAAGATAGGTTACTATCCTAAGAACAATCATCAAGCATTATATCAAGTTAATCTATCACTCATAATATTACAAGTAATACATTTTTTAATCTGTACGATTGATTATTTTTAGTGTTTAATAAGTTTACTAGATGAACGCAACATCACCTATAATCAATATAAAATCAGTTTTTATCAAGACAAACGCAAATATAATGAATTTGTTACTGATGAGAAACACTAATAATTATTTTTAATATTGTAATTTTCAAGTATTAATAATCACCGTGAAAGTAGTATTTATAGTGCACTTAAATATAAGTAATTGAAGATATGATTTAATAGTTAAATACGATACATATGACCTATGCACAAGAAAGGAAAACCAGCGAATCAACGAATCGCATCATCAAGAACAAATAACAGCAAACAATCATGAACACATATACAAACAGAGTAGGTACAGTTTTCAGTATACATCGTTTGTATATCTTAACACTTTTTCTTTAAAACAGTCGGAACACATCAAGTGTCAGAAATACACCTAAACTAATCAATGAGGTAGGGAAAGAAAACAAATGAAGGAATATATATATGAGACTGACCTACCATCTTTGTTTGCATTTGCTGCTGTATGAGCCTCTCGCAACCTATGCAAATCGGCCAATGTAGTCATTAGGATAGATGAGATTCAAAGAATTTGATGACTGGAGCGCCAATAAGAATGCTGAAATAGCAACAAAAATTATATCAAATTAATTATTAGCTAACGAAGAGAAAATAAGTGAACAAGGTGATCAATATTTCAGCTAATAGGCACAGTGAAGACGCACACTTACTGAATATATCAATTGTTTTGTCGGAATATTCTGTGATGGTTTATCTAATTCAAAAGAAGTTTTCTTATCAATTCCAATGAAACACTGACTAAAACTGGTGTGGGTCAAACAATTTCTTTCGTCTTAGTTTTGAAATAGCAGATAGTAACATTGATTACAAGATATTTAAATTCTGTGGCAACCAGGATGCCATTTGGTCGACAAGTCAGAATGTAATGTTTAAGTTAATAGGGGTATGGCTTGAGGACTATCGACTATCACTAGTACTTATTAAGTAGTACGAAACTGTTAGAAAAGCCAAACACTCAGGAGAAAAGCGCATCTACTGAAACATAATTATTCTAAAATACCTTACGACAGTTGTGAAACGACATCAGTTAATTACTATCCTTAGCATTCAGTAAATTGGAACTAACAGCACTAGAAGCAAGTAAAATTTCTCTATCATATTAAACAACTCGAATAGGTAGAACAAATTAAGTTATGGTTATGGATCGATTACCATTGATCTAACAGTGTAAGCGCGGATAACATCATATTCGTATTACTTTAGACTGAAGTTTAAAATCTAATCATGTAATGTAATAAGCGAAATATAGCATCAACATGAGATTTCTCATAAAGTTCGTGCACACTGTCATAAACTACACATTAGATATTACTGTGCAATACATATACTTAGGCTTATACTAATCATGAAAATAATCCATTTCTTTAAAATCACTACAATGATCTTAAATGATATACAACACAATTGAGAGAGTTATGAAGCATTTAAAGTACAACTGGTGGAGGATGTGTTTTTCGTTCACTACAGGACAGTCAAAAATTTGTCACAGAAATGAAATGCACAAGAGTAATTAAATAAACTGATGTCAAAAACCACTATGAGTAAAACCATGGTAGCATGATAATAAGATAAAAGGGGTGAATAACTAGTGGGGAAAAGTCTGAAAGCAGCAATGAGCACAAGAATGTACCATTGTATATAGTTGCACGTATTTCAGTTGCATAAAGCAATCTTTACTTGGTGGGCTTTCTTTGAAGGTATACAGTAAGTAGGTAAACTTCGAATCAATTTATGCAAGAACCTATACTGATCATCTAATACCACCTTGGAATATAATTTAAGACAAACGCACAAAAGACTAAAGAGACTATCAGTACTATCAGGGGATTCAAAATAGTGGTGGCCATGAAAGACTTTGTGAGAAAGAGAATGGGATACTTGTGTTGAATTTGCAACATTCTTTCCCCACGTTTCTATTATGAATTATTAATTTTATTATGTAGGGAACGAAAACAAAACTCTTCAGAAATCTTATCAGTTATCGCTGTTTTACTAGAACTATCTGGAGGAGAAAAGTTTAATCGGTCACCCAAAACCGCATCAGTTACTAAGAAGAAATGGTTTCAAGAAGACACAATATGTTTTTTGGACATAAAAAGACATTTCCAACTATTCTGAAAACTGGTATACTCCATAGAACTCGTTGGTTAGAAAATTAGTGTTCAACTGTTAGGGACAAACTTGGAATTCATTTTCGCCTCTTAGGTCCCAAACAGAATACATGTTTCTAAATCTAATATACAAGCCAGTACTTGATTACTTGCTTACACTGAGATTACCATTTTAAGCTGATGTGTAGAGAATTCGAATACGAGTGACGGGAAATTGTAATTTGAAAGCAATTTGTATTTTGATAAGTAAACCGTTTTAAAGGCTTTCTAGTAGCTTATTAGACGGTATGCTGAGTTCCATTGTCCTAACACGATCAGCGGAAAATCAGTGTTTTCATGGAAAGATATCCCATCTCAATTGTAATGTTGAATAATAACTAAAAAGTTATTGTAACATTATAAAATAACTCTATGAATTCACAGACCGACAGCACTATCACTCAGTTACTTTGCAAACTATTAAACTGAATAACGTAATACACTAATTCGTCAGACTGATTAAACTTGGTTGAGGAAGGTTTACCTAGTATATAAAGAGTTTTCAGATGAGCAAAAGACAGAAAGTGAGATATTAGCAATAATTTCACAGACTGACTCAGCAAATGAACTGCCCACTCCTTATTACACAAATCATCAAGAACAATGGGTAAAATTTGAAAGAGGTCTGCCAATTGAGAGATATATATGCATCAGCCCAATTTGCCATACTGCATTAGCACAGCAAGATGAACACCGGATTCATAGTAGTTAATTCAATGGTGGTGATATATAAAAGAAAGATTGCATGTAAGGATATAGTACAGGAAGAAAGAATTAGTACGTAGAAAGATATGAAGCGATTTTAATCTCATAGTTTAAGGGAAGACAGATAATGTTATATATATATATATATATATTCTTGATAAAATGTCGATTTTATCAGTTGTAATCATTAACCCAATACAAGTGATAAAGTTAACTTGACATAACTTAAATAGTACAACTATTATTACATTGGGCATTGGCTAGAAAACAGGATCCTTTCAAAATCGATATATGTACTGGTCTCATTGAAGTACCCAACGAACTAATGATATTTATAACTATTTCTTTTTTAAAGGTCCGGGGGGGGGGTAAGGCAAGAACACAAAACTTTCATTTCGCACACATATAATCTGCGTGTTAGCTTCTGATCTTTGTGGTTCAAATTGATTCATATTGCAACATATTTTGTCTAAACAAGAAAAGAATGTATGCAAGGAAAAAAGAATCTATTTAATAGGGTTATATCGTTTGATTTAATTGCAAAGTTTTGATCAGCACTCTAGATGAAATGAGCTATCAGGATTTCTTCACAAGTGACTATAACAGATTGTCTAATTGATAGGACAATGATGTTCACTGTCCTTCAAATAAATTATAAGAGCACGAAAATATACAAACAGGAAAATGTTAATTATTTAAACGAAACTAATAAAGATGATAACATTTTACCATACATTAAGGTACAGTAGGAAAACCATGAAAATGTTCTACGATTAACCGTTATGTCATAAATCTTCACGTAAAAATGAAAGTATATTTAAAATATTTCCGAATTAATGTAATAATAAATGACTGTGGGTAACATGATTTTTAGCATTCATAGTTTGCACGAGAAAAAACTAAACAAAACTATATATAAAACTCTGGATTCTAACTATAACAGTTAAATCAATTAAAAGCATCTGACTAAGATAAGTAAACGACAAAGAATATTAAAGAAGCACAACACACACACAAATACGCACAATTAGGAAACAGAAAAAAGAAATAACCAACTTTTATTTTTATATTTACATCAGTTATTTATAGAGTCGAAAAAGTACATTTATGGTTGTAGAAACACAAATAATAATAGTAACAACAATAAAAAAGATGGTGTACAAAATAGATATACGTAGATATAATAAAATCAAATATACATGTATATCACATTTGAGCTCGCTAATATGTTGATTCAACGTATCAGACAAAAAAGAGAGAAGAATCTAACCACCCTCCCTCCCTTTAAAAAAAAACGAGAATGGAATGATCCAAATAATAAACTACATAGACAATTAAGAAGGAATGAGAATTATAAACGTATATCACAATGTAGTAAACTAAAAATTTTTTTAGAAAAATTAATCTACTCAATGTTAAGAATAGGAATTGTACATAACTCAAAAAATATATATATGCAGTAGAAATTTGTAGATTGCTAACTTTTAAACTGCCGTGTAAAATTGTTTATCAAATGATCCAAATTCGGCTGTTCATAGTAAACGCAGAATTGAACATTGTGCCATTTGATGAAAACTTTTTACCGATGGATGATAATAACAACAAGTTATTTTATATTTGATTTGTGTGACAAGTATTTCTTCGTAAGCAAAACAAAATAAATTACATTTTAATATTATAAGTTAATAATTAAAGTGAAAAATAATTATTATAATCATGATGTGATTATTTAATAAACTTAATACAAAAAGAGAATTCAGCGAAGAAAATTTTCTTTTCGACGAAATCATTTACTTAAGCTGTACATTCGTATATATAGTTATATGGAAAATGTATGTCTATAGGAGGATAGAAAAAATTGCATCACCAAAATGGATTCGAGGATAAATAACAAATGAGGTTACGTACTAATCAAGGGGTAAGGAAGAAAATCGTTTATGGGTCAGATAATAGTCCAATTGACAAATATGAAGAAAAGCGACAAACACAAAGATCATAATAATAAACTAAAAAGTAATCAAAAAAACTTGTATGAGGTAATAATAATAATAACTGATTCGAGTTTGAAATGCAAAATAGTAATTTTAAAAATTCGATAATAATCAAATAAAATTGCAGAAAAGAAACGAATGTACAGCTTAAGTAAATGATTTCGTCGAAAAGAAAATTTTCCTCGCTGAATTCTCTTTTTCTCATTCAATGACACTATGGGTTATTTTAATTAAACTTAATACAATTTGCCATAATTTGATTTGATCATACTGTAGTGAAAGAGAACATAGGTGAGGAGAACCGAATTATATTTAGCACAAAATTACAGTTACTTGGTAAAATAGAAAAACCATACTATAATACTTAATTTGCAAAATGTTCAATAATTGTCTTGGACTTCATTGTTCTTGCATTTCTATACTAATGGCTTTCTATTCCTGTTCTTCCATTCTTGATCTTCCCAATCTACTACTGCCAGACATTAAATTCTTGACTCGCGTTATATAATACTTATGTCAATATAAGTAGCACGCAGCACAATACTTCGCGTACAGTGACTATCAAAACTAGTCAGTTGAGAACAGACAGAAATAGATGGAGTGGATAGAGGTTGAAACTTATAAAACAATCATTACAAGTTGATCACTTTGATCATTTAAACCATTAATTTACTATTGTAATACTTTCAAAATCATTACTGGCTAGTCAACATTTAGGCCAACATATCATACCAACTAGGATAGATAACTCGGGATATTACGAAATGAATTTCAGGCAGCAAATGAATGTTTGGCTAATATTAGTTTTCCAAAAAAAAGCCGAAGAGAGAACAAAATGGAGATTTAAAAGAAATATGTTACCAATAAGTACTAAAGAATGAAGCAAATGTAGGAGTTTTAAACTAACAACCATTTTAACTTAGATCGGAGATATAAAAAATGAAAAACGGGAGCATGACGAACGTCTGGTACAAAAAAAAGCTTTTCTTAATTACATAAAAGTACACAGTAAAATAAAACAACTAAGCGTAATCAGTAGGAAATTTTTGATCTATTGGTTTTTACAAAGTTGGTAATAACAAGTAATGCATATTCACAGAGAGGATATATATAAGCGATGCTAGTCATTTTATATTCTAAACTGTTTCGTTCAATATTATGGGTGTAGACCATGTCACTGAAACACTTGCGTCGTAAACATATTGGTCAATTTTCAAGAAATAACTGTAAGTATTTATGAAACATTCTACTAAGTTTCTAGCTACATAATTCAATGGCGAAAGTGAAAACTAGACGACATTCAAATGATTAAACCGCCGAGTATTTCACATAGGTTTCGTGTTTATTGATCCACTCATTATTGACGTGAATAATTAAAACATGTAGCAACAGCACGCTTTAATAAATAATCAATATTGTTTGTTTTTTGAATTGATAAGAAACTTAAGTTGTAAGTCAGATTATGGTCATAATTTATTTTTATTTTACTCTCAAACGTAATTTATCATCTGCATCCAATTATCATGCATCCTAGTTTAATAACAGATTTTAGATATGTCAACAATAAGGAATCCCAAACAATCTGATTAAATATAATGATTGCTACTCAAGATTCAATTCACACAACAATTTTACTGCGTAACAAAACTATGGATTAAATTATATTCGAGTCCCAGAGGGCTTTTTTAAAACAATTCAAATCGAACAGACAGCTAATCATTATGTTTGAGATAAGCATAGTTTACAGATTGATTTAAGCATATTAGGATAAGACTTAAATAGTTACTAGGTCTTGAAACTTACTCAGTAGAGTATCGAACGGCCTAATAGGCTGTTACAAATTTGGATTCTGGTGAGATGCATATTTCTTTCTGATAAGTCTTGCAAACTGAACGCTATATTCGTTTCCTAAGCTATTCTGTAACCCCCAGCTATAACTATACAGCGACCTGAACGAGACAGAAGACGCAAGGTATGCGAGTACTTTACTCCAAGGTTCGTTTTAACACAGAAAATATAGGGTTCTTATAATATTTTTAAATGTCCTTGGGTTGCTCGAAGATTCTGGAATGCTACTAAACATAGCAGCAGTATAGCAATCAGCCAATCAGAACCTCTACATGTGAAGTTTCACTTCCTTGATATTTTTGGCTAAAATTTCAAGTGAACACTGAATGGATGAAACGCTTCTTAGTGTTTCCTGATCCTTGGTTGTCTTTTGCAAGAAATTTTCTGGATCACTCCAACACTTTCCGCGTTAATCATCATTTAATTTCATATCGAACATGACTATTCATATTAGTTTAATATAAAAAATTTTGTGCATAACAAAAGATTCATTATGAGTGATTAGATAATAATTAACTAAGTTTAGGCTGTATTTTTGAGCTATCCAAAATAATTTGTAACGTTTTGAGGTGAACTGCCTTCGATAAGTCGATTACTCAAATAAATATGTACATATTACATTTCTCATACTAATTACGGTGTATATATTGTAATTTAAAAATACAGACTAAATAGTTTATCCTGTTTTTGAACTAAACATATGTCAATCATTCAACTCATTTTATTTCAATATAAGTTTATGTTAGTTGAAAAAAAAAGAATTAAAAGAAAATTTGTAATAGTTAATCGAGGTTACAGATTACGTGTAGTTTTTTTTTGGTTTGTGTTATTTAGTTCTATTTGTTTGTGAATATCTTTTAGCAGTGAACTCAGTTACAAATCAATAGATTATTATGTTACGTATTCTTCATTCAATTGGTTTTTTTTATTGAATTACATTAATACAACTTAACATACTAACAAAAAGTAATTCTTTAAGAAAAAAATATATAAAATACACTTACATAAAGAAAATACATTCCGACCTCTTATATTTATTGGAGAACGAGACATAGATCGTGCACCGAAAAACAATATAAGAAAATCTGTCAGTAACAATATAATTACTAGAAATTGTAGTCGAGATGAAATGAGGAGAATATCTACCTAAATACCAAATTTAGATAAATGAAAAATATAAATATTTGAACATTTACTGATGGAAATATATAAATGAAGAAAACTAACAAAATATGAACACATTTAAAATATGCGATCATAAAAAAGATGATTAACACTAATGATCTGTAAGTCATTATAATTGTCGTTAACATAGCTCTTAGGTGGTTAGGGATTCCACCCGACTGTCCATCCCGAAGTTGGTATCCAGAATTATTGATACCTTAAAAAACTTATGAAAATCAGTCATTATTATCTTGAACTCCACTAGTCGTGAACATTCAGCAGAACTCCAGGAGTTGCATCTTTAGGCTAGTCACTAACGAGTAAATAAATTCAACCATATAGAGCGTGAGATAGTCAACCACCTCAGGGAATGGATCAGGGTTGCGCAATTTCCTAAGTTGATTGAAGTTAGATATGTACACTATTGAATGCCGGTACAGTGGTTTAGAAGTTGAGCACTCGCACGCGAGACCGAAAGTCCTGGGTTCGACTTCCAGATGCAAGAATGTGGATGCACACTACTGAGCTCCATACTAGAAAAAAACAGTCGTCCAGTTCTTCCAAATTTTCAATAGTAGTCTGGCTAAGATCGGTTATTCATTTAAACCATGAAAATTCTACAATCCTCATAAATGCCCCCTATGCTGAAAAATATTTATTCAATCGTTACTAGAACAAATATTTTATGTACCTCTAATTTGCACCTTTATACCTAATTAGAAATAATATCTCGTTACTAATGTGACCACTCGTAATCCCCTACTACGATCGACGTTGAAGGTAGCTAGCTTTTTTACCCGAAATCGCCACAAGTCTATAGCCACTTAATGGGAAGTCTTATTCCATGCCTTGGTGTAGAACAACCTAATTCGGACCAGTTACGACCTTCCATATTTATTGCTGAAGTTCCACCGTAAGTTGGCCTCTAAAATTGTATCACGGACTTAAATAAATCATATTCCAGCAAACTACAGATTTTGCGTATGTATAGAAAACTGTATTTCTACACTATCTGCCTGCATCCTGATCATGATATTTTGTGCACGAAACACGTTTCATGTTTATGTGGTCAACATGTAAGTCTTCGTAAATAGGTCGGTGTAAGTTAACTGTCTTATAGCTCCTAGATCAAGGTCAGCTATTAGTCCTTCGGAAGGTGTACATTGAGACTAGTTACAACTAAGTGGGTCAATAAAACCGCTTGCAACTTCGCGAACTGTCCTGCTCACAAGTAATGAGTTTCAGTGAACTCTTAACAGGTTTATGAAGCTCAACAGTTGACTTGGACGACGTATGAGTACAACAGTGAAAACTAGTCCTCAATGTGGAAAATTTCATAGGCGACATAGCCTGATCAGAAATTGCTACTCAGTTAAAAGAAACAGATGCATTTTACAAATGTTAGAGATTGTCTTAAATCATCTAAGATAACAATAATCTTTATGTCAGTGAAAAAGCAAGTTGCCATATTGTGCAGATTGCAAGAAAGACGTGGAAACCAATCTGTGGCGAGTGGAATAAACTTGTCCTATGTATCGAATATGTTAATTATACCTTTATTTTTCATTAAACGCTTCATCAGTGAAGCGAGTATAGCAGACTAACTACTATCATTCTAATCAGCCAGAAAGATATGACCCTATGAAGATGGTTAACATCTTAATAACTTTGTGCAAAAACACTCTAGGTAGAATGAAAGTATCCAAGCCACCTCTCTCCATATTTCTAAACCAAGTAAGACTAAACAACGCTGTCGAATTACTTTAATCATTTTTTTAAAATTCTACGTAGATGATGTTTAGAAAACAGCTTGAATGAAGTGGTGAAAACTTACAGATATTACCTGGAGAAAAATTTGTCGACCTCAAGTAAGCTAATATAATCCGAATCAAAAACATGCATAACATAAAGGTCTACTCACATCACACCGTGTCTTGGGTTTATTCTTTCTCTAAATCTGAAATAATTCTCTACTCAAAATTGTCAAAAAAGAAAATAAGCCACGTAACAGTTAAAATGTAGGCAAATATTAGATTAACAAACCTTTTCCAAACGTGGTAAAAGATGAGGAGAAACATGAAACTCAGTCTGTATTCGTGTCCGACCATGACAACGGTTTGAGTCAAAAACACCAGTCCGTTTGGACCATTCAAGAAGACTAGTTATTGAGGATGTACTACCAATTAAGTTTGGTTCACAAGTCGGAGGTAACCTAGAATTTTCCGAAGTAAACACGAAAATATCATAGGTGTATATAACTGCATAATATAAGTACATATAGACTTATTGTTCATCACAGACTGGTATCAGTTGGAAAACTATAAAAACCAGAGAATACTACATGGTTTTTTCGTCCTCCACTGTTAACCACCTATGACTTTTAAATAGTAAAGTAAAAATGGTACTTTCAGAATCCAGTGATGGCCATCATTTTCAACTGCAAGTAAACCGCGAATTGGTTATGACTTATTTCAAAAATACTAAAAATATCACGCCGTGTAGATAACGATTTAATATGTCTTTTACGCTCTCATGATCGCTTGATTCAAGAATATAGCTTTGTAAAATAAAACGCAACCGTAATAGAAAAAATTAACACTGAAAACTTGAATTTCATGAAAACCAAAAATCAGGATACATAAAATCACTATGGAAAAACATGCGATTTTAATATAAGTAAATTATTTCATTTACGAAGACAATTGCACAAAATGTGTAGGTAATCAGTAGCACTTTTAGATACCTGTGATTTAACCGGAGAATTAAAAAATTATTATCTTTCTGCAGTATACTACGCTAATATAGGACTGTTGATAGAGTTTATAGTACGTCCAGATTGGATGCTCGATACCACTAAATACAGACTAGATCACGTTGTACCAGGGTGCCAGATTCACGATTAAAAATAGAAAAACAGTAACCCTAGATAATATTATATACCACACAATTACAGGCAATCATTCTAAGTGAGTTCAGATTAGAAATCAATAAGTGGAAGGGAAATAACATATTTATTATCTAGCAAGCTGCCTACCTGTTTGCCTACGAACAGTAACCAATACCATTTACTTTCACTACTACACATTACGTTGCTAATATAAATTTGAAAAACTGACCAGACAAAACACATTTTCGGACTTCATTGCTTAAATCACAAACTCATCATAGCTAAACAGCCAATGAAAATCGCGAAGAATTAGAGAAGCATTGACAAAATAGAAACAATGTTTCACTAAAAAAGAATACAATTCAGAAAGGAAAATTCTCTTTTCGACGATTTCATTTACTTAAGATGTACAATCATTTTTATGGTTAATTTTATTTGCTAAAATATTGGTCTATGATAAAATAAAATGGAGTAAAATAATTGGGAAAACAACCTAAAGTAGTATCTTGTCATAAATTGTTTACGAAAAACAGATATTGAAAGGAAATTGTGTAATAATCGGCTAGTGAAGAGTAGTAAGGTGAAGGATATTTGTTTACTTTATAGCTATTAAGAACAGAACAACTAAAAATTTTAATGGTGGATAATTAATGGTTTTGAGCATGATCAGAAACTAATAGAAGTAAAAAAACAAAACAGATTACAGGAGATAGAAAGGTAGGTGAAGACCATGGGAGAATGGGGGACTGAATGTATTGTTTTCTTACGCAAAGTTTAGGCTCGGGATCATGGGTAGCGATAGCCTCTTCTGTACACAAGTTTTCCATTCTCATTCCTATTGAGCCGACTCTTCCCGTTGTGTGTGATTTTGAAAAAGACTTCTGGTAAAGCGTAATGACCAGAATTGACTAAATGCTTCGAGATTCAGAAGACTGTATTTTGTCAGCGTCTTCACCAAATAGAACTATGTCGTCGGCATATTCTAAGTTAATAAAATAATCTCCAGGTAGAAGTTCAACCCCTGGAAATTTAGATGAGGAAAGTGCCATCTCTAAAAGCATGTCAACGACAAAGTTAGACAAGAATGGAGAGAGTGGACAGACCTGACGAACACCACTTGAGGTAATCAATTCTGATGACAGTTCGTCATAAGCTCTCACTCTACCAGTTGTGTTCGAGTAGAGAGCCTGTATAAGGTTAATGTACTCCTTTGGTACTCCTTTCAGTGACAAACACTGCCATAGAACCTCACGATCAACAGAGTCGAATGCCGCCTTAAGGTCGAGAAATACCACTATTGTGGAACGTCTGAATGTGTGTCTGTGTTCTAGAACCTGACGTAGTGTTAATATCTGGTCTATACAACCACATCCAGGTCGACAACCGGCCTGATTTTCCCTAGTCTGCTCTTCAGGAGCTTTAGTTAGGCGTCGAATTATTATTGAAGCTAATATTTTAGACACAATATTAATCAAACTGATTCCTCTGTGATTGCCATAAGAGAACTTTTGTCCTTCCTTATCGACCAGTCAAATGGGATTACCAAATGGCAAAATGGGAATTTTTACTAAATGGGATTACGTCCACTTCCCAGATTCTACCTAAGACCTCAGTCAATCTCACTGCTAATACTGGATCGCCATCCTTAAAAATCTCAGGGATAAACCTGTCAGGGCCTGCTACTCCCCCTATAACTTTTTCAAGTTCGTAAAGAGTTGGAGGATTTAAATCAACTTGCCATTTAGGTCGACTGGTGATCGTGGGAAACCGAAGTTTGACTGAAGGCCAGTTGAACTGATCCCTAAAGTGTTCTGCCCATCGATCAAATCTCCTGGATTGAGAGTGAATAATATATCCGTCTTTTTGCGAGATAGTTTCGCTAACAGTTGGATTCCTAATAACGGTTCCCTTGACAAGTCTGAAGAGTTGTCTGCTGTAGCCTATTGCCGCTGCCTTTTCCATCTCTCTTGCTTTCGCTACCCACCACTGTTCGCGATCATTGCGTAGGCCTCTTATCAGTTTGCGTTTAAACTGACTCTGCTCTTCGTCATGTTCAGAGCCAGGTGGGAGTTTTCGAGCATCTATCAGTGTGGTAGATGCCACTGAGATCCAGTATTTCCTCCCAAACCTTATGGTTTACCGTACTAGCGGATATTTCTGTTGTTTCCACAGCTTTTCGGGTATCACTCCATGTTGCCTCGGGGTGGGCATCACTTACATGGTTTCCTAACTGTTTTTCTAGTTGTTCCTGAAATATATTCTTAGCTTGGCTATCATTGAGTAGGAACCTGAGAGGTATCTTTACGTTGTCTTTCCTACGTCCATTAAGAAGCAGACGATTTCGCGCTCGCACCAGAGCATGATCTGAATCTAAGCATGTGCTCCCGAACGGGCGACAGTCTTCTATCGAGCCCCTCCATCCGTGGCTGATAGCGATGTGATCTAGTTGGGTCCAACTTTGGGACGAATTTGGGGGTCTACATGTCAAAAGATGTTGTTCCTTGTGCTTAAAGTTAGTATTTGCTCCACCTTACTTCTCTTCACTAGCCGATTATCACACAATTTCCTTTCAATATCTGTTTTTCGTAAGCAATTCGTGACAAAACACTACTTAAAATTTTTTTCCTAATTATTCTACACCATTCTATTTCATTATAGACCAATATTTTAGCAAATAAAATTAACCATAAAAATGATTGTACAGCTTAAGTAAATGAAATCGTCGAAAAGAGAATTTTCTTCTCTGAATTGCCTCCTACCTACTATACAACTGTTTCTTCCTACTATAGTGATTCTCAGCAGTGCTCAACCATATGATCATCGAGTGTCAAACCAAGGGCCCTCAAATTCTTAACTTCAGGAGGGTTGAGTTGACATTTACTGGTTTAAATACCTAGCTTAAATCAATTTGTGCTGTTGTCTAGCGATCTTTCAATGTCGTCGATGAGTAACTGTCTCACACTAGATAAGGCTGAACTTCATTTTATTAAAACCCCTGTAATTACCTCTCGAAATTGGTTACTAATGGGCATATAATTGTTATAACAATAGGTGTTTTGTGAACATTGTTAAACTTTTATAGTTTCCATCATCGGCGACAAAGGCAGAAGTAGTAGACAACAGCATAAAAACAGTAACATGAGAAATTAGAGCACACGAAACAAACAGATACCGCATCTAAATTTACAACAAATGATGTGGTCACCTTAATCGACGTATAATGATCAATTTATTAAATGACTTATACTTATTATATGAAACATATTGATCAAACTTAAACAACCTCATGCATTTGATTAGCAAACACCATCATGTCGGCCATAATAAAGTCACATTGTTACGTAACAGTTGGTTGACTAAAGATTATACAATTAGTTACCTAAAAGTTTCCATTGGTTACCGTCACGTAATTAAGAGCAATGTCGTTTGTGTGGCATGCTGTTACTCAATACGAATGGATGGATCTTAAAAAAAAACTTGATTAGATGTGTATGCGATTGCCACAGAGGAAAAAGTATAGCACTGTTTGTTCTAACATGAATGCATCTCAAATAAATCTAACTCGTAAATGAGTTAGATTTGTATGACCTGGAAGGGTAACACAGAATTTCGAACTATAAACCAAACATATCAGAAAACTGAATCTAAACAAATAGCCATTTTTAATGATTTAGGCAACAGGTGGAACTTTAATTCTATAACTATTAAATACGCACTATTAGTAAGTACTGGATTCCCAAGGCTCCATCAAATAACACTGGAAATTTCCACGTGAGCTTTCTTACCTAAAAATGATCTACAGCAGTGGTTAATAAATCTGTTCAAGTTTTCTTCCAAAATGAGAAGCGTTAAATGAATAAGTAACACAAACACTCATTTATACAATATAAAGATTGAAAAGTAACATATTACGCAGAAAATACATCCCATTTGTCCAAAAGGATTGCATTACTACGTTTGAAACTTACAGTATTGGTGGGAAAATAGCCGATGTAGCAGTAAAAGTCACACATGTTTTTAAATGTACAAGTCGAAAGTTCAGTTTTTTTCCTTTACGATTTTCATTTCGAACTGATGGTACCAGAAAAGATATGTTCAGTTTTTGCAATGCTAAAGGACCTGGAATAATGAAAAACTATCATTTGTTAGTATTAAAATGAAATACCTAAGAGACATACCAGTCAATCATGTGACAAAAAGAGCCTAACACAAGTGTGAGAAACGCCGAATCAATGCGATGAGATGAAATTAGTAAGATAAATAGCAAAAGAGTTCCAATGATTATAGTAGCAATAACAGTGAAAAAGATTAAACATTTAGAATGTTTGAAATGAAATGAGAATGTATGTAAGAAGGAATACTGAAACTCAAGATCTATAGAATGATAAAGAATGAATACTTCCAATCCAATGTAAGCGATTCTAAACTATCGCACCCAACGTCTCAAACCTTATAATGGTTAGAATATATACATTTTGCGCTTAGAGCTTGTTATAACTTGTAACCGCCAGTTAGAAAGCAGTGAATTATCGATCGGACCAATGACACATAAAACACGTGCGAGCAGTCTAGAGTCCTGATTGGTCCTGCTTTTCGCCCAGCCCAGCCAGTTGAGTCCAGAACGCCAATCCGAGCCTCTGCGATATCAATCATTATATTTCAAACATACTGAGTTTATATACCAATCAAACAGATCACAACGTACCATAAAATAGAAAACAACATTTGTACAAGATTTGGCCAAAAGTGGCTGTGAATGTGGGAGGCAGTGATTAATAGACAGGGCATAAATCAAGAATGATAAAGCGTATAATAATAGTTCATAGGTCAAAATAAAGCTTATAATAAGAGGAATATGAACATGAATAGTTAGGTTATTTAACAATTATACGATAAAAACATACGTTTAGTATTGGTCCATAAATGGATCCCAAAGTTACCATTCATTATGCTTATCAGGACATAACAGAGCTTCAAAAAATACGTCACGGAAAACCCACTTTAGTTTGTGTTCAGCAGTTAGTCATTATCATCATGTTGGATTTTAGGAAAACTAAACATCATCGAGTAACTAGAAGGATTTTGATGATAAAACTAACTACCTGTTTAAATATTTATATGTTAGGTAGGTTTCGGAAATATGGTCCACAATGTTAAAGAAGTATTTCAACCAATAAAGCACAACACCACGTATTCTGTCACGGGATTTCCAAAAGTACAATTTCATTATGCTTCACTAGACCTCACGCACAACTATTGTTTTATGCTGTAGACGTAAACGGACAGACATAAACATTTACAACAAACATTTTCAACTCCTTATGATACAGTACGTTTTATTATCAAACCTAGTACTCTGATACTGTTATAGGACAAACACTCGATTATCACACAGCCTTCAACAATTGAAAACAAACGATAACACTGCCAGGGGGTCATGAGTTCAAATGACAGTGAATGTTAATTTACGATAATAATGCGTGCCGGAAGTAGATTAAAATGAGAATGTAAATTGAAAACCAGCTTGTTAGTTCTGAAGAACTGAGACTGATTTTCATGAGAGTAAATGAGTTATACTGCTGCATATATACAAAATAATACAAAACAAATGCCCAGTACCTTGTGATTTTCTACAACAGCTCAACCGATATTTATTTATGATGGAAACATTATTTTCACGTTTGCTAAAACAACTGAAAACATAAACTTCATTTAAACTATTTGAAAAAACCGTCGTTACCAAAACGGATTTTATATACATGGATTGTTCTTCACGCGGTAAGAGACAACCTGAATTGAATTGTCAGCCAATCAGCTACAACGTAGGACCAGGCACATATATGCATCGGTCCAAGTTGTCATACCTCATTAGCATAACAAGATTAACACCGAATACATAGAAGTAGTTAATTCAATGGTGGTAATATATAAAAGAAAGATTGCAATAAGGATATAGTACAGGAAAAAAGAGTTAGGATGTAGAAAGATATGAAATAATTTTAATCTCATAGTTTGAGGGAAGACAGAGTGTATACACTTACACCGTTGTGACCGATTCTGAGCCATGTCACCCAGAGTCCCAACCATTGGTTACGAGAGTCATGCGGGTTCCAACCAAGTAGTCTGCATCTACCAACATGGCTCAGACTAGCAGTTAATGACTTTATAGACCGATGCCACGTTTTGGTTCGGCCGCCCTCAACTTTCTTCCAACCATCCTCAACACCAGTCAGCAATGCGCGTCGTGGTAATCGGTGTTCAGGCATACGTAGTACGTGACCCAAACATTTCAGTCGATAAAGATTCACAACCTCATCAACTGATTTATCATCATTCCCTAATGCCTTGCGTCTAACCTCACTATTACGTACCCGGTGATCCCAGAAGATGAGAGCAATATTTCTAAGGCATCTGTGGTCGAATACTGGTAGCTTACGAGTATCTTCTACTCTTAATGGCCACGTTTCGCAGCCGTAAAGTAGAACAGAACGAACTGCCGCGCACTATACTAGTCCCGAATATCTCGCATTCGTCATAGGTGACGTAAGTTGGTAAAAGCCAAACGAGCATTCTGAATCCATGCTGAAATTTCATCAGATACCAACCCATTAAGCTGATCAGACTTCCAAGATACGTGGAGTTGTGGGCGCGTTCGATTACTTCACATCGTATCCTTAGTTCAAGTGTTGAGGCAGGCCAGTCCTGAAGCAACAACTTGCATTTAGATGGGGAGAAGCGCATCCCAAACATTCTGGCATTGTTGGCCAGCGCTATCAAAAGACTCTGCATTTTATTAGCGTCTTCATCAAACAAGACTATGTTATCTTCGTATTCTAAGTCGATAAGTGGACCTCCTGGAAGGAGATCAATGTCCGAAAATTCAGACGACGAGAACGTTATTCCCATTAGTATGTCTACAATGAAGTTGAACAAAAATAGCGATAGTGGACAACCTTGACGGATACCACTTGAGGTTGCAAAATCAGATGACAGTTCGCCATAAGCTCTGACTTGATTAGTAGTGTTCCAGTAAAGTTTTCACAAGGTCCATGTACTTCTGATGTACATTGCCACAGAACCTCTCGGGCAACAGAGTCAAATGCTGCTTTTAAGTCAAGAAAGACCACCAATGTCGGACGCCGATAAGCAAGCCAATGTTCTAAAACCTGACGAATGGTGAATATGTGGTTGATGCAACCCCGATCAGGTCTGAATCCAGCCTGATTTGCTCGTGTTTGCAGTTCACGAGTCTTTGTTAGGCGCCCGATAATTATTGAGGTTAGTATCTTAGATGCTATAATCCCTCTATGGTTATCACATGATGACTTCGACCCCTTCTCATATATTGGGACAATCAGTGATTGTGACCAGTCAGACGGGATTACGTCCAACACCCAGATTTTAGCTAGAATATTAGTCAACCTAATCGCTAAAGTTGGATCGCCATACTTAAGGACCTCTGGAGTCAATTCATCTGGACCAGCTGCCCTTCATTGTTTCATATTAACTATAGCCTTTTGAACTTCAGCTAGAGTCGGTGGATCTACTCCAATGTTCCATTCACACTGTCTGGGAATGGTGGGTAGTCGTAGAGTAGGTGAAGGCCATCTAAACTGTTCTCTAAAGTGTTCCGTTCATTGTTCTAAACGTCTGGGCTGAGAGCAGATAAGAGTGTCGTCTTTTTCCAAGATCGCCTCACTCACACTTGACTTTTTAGTTCCAGTTCTTTATTAGTCTGAAGAGATGTCTTGTGTCACCTACAGCCGCTGCCGTTCCCATCTTTTTCACTTTCGATGCCCACCACTGATCACAGTCTTTCCCTAGACTTTTGGTTAAACTAGATCTGACTTGCTTTCGCTCTTCATCGTATATAGAGCATGATGGGATGAGTTTACGAGAATCTATCAGTGCAATAGACTTAGAAGAAATCCATTGGTCTTTTTTAACCCTTTTGTTTAAAATCACTAATAGATGTCAGTGCTATTTCCACAGTTGTTTGTATATCTTTCCAAGCGACATCTGGGTCAGCTTCGTTTTCACCCTAACCTAAGTGCGACCTCAGTTGTTCCTAGAACCTGCTTTCGGCTTCCTCGTCACTTAGTTCAATTCTAATGGGTCTTCTTAATGTGGCTTTTCTGCGTCCAGTGAGGCGCAAGTAAATGTGTGATCGTATTAGAACATGGTCGGAGTCCTGTATCGAAAAGTCTCTAGATTACTGACCCACTGTTCTGCCGACTAAAACTTTGTTACAATAATGTTAGTATAACTCTGTTATCAAGCAGATTCGTATGCTATGCCTGAAACCACATCGTTTGCAGAGGGATTGATCTGGTTGTCGAGCATGAAGCACGTTGAGCAGGATTCGAATTCTGTGCTCTAAACAGTTATTTAGCATTTAGAAGCTATTACTTTGAATACTACTGCGACTAATGTTTTCTCTCAACTTAAATCGTCATCCGTGTATACAATTCAAATCGTTAAAATTTATGATCGAAAACCAGTATGTAAACATAAGCTAAGATGACACACAAACTATTATAGGTGAATCAACTAATCCATTAGTTACATGTTCGTAATCGATGAATTATCATCTGTACAAGAATGATCGCAAATGAAGCTATACAACTGACTATAACCATGAAATATTAACATCCATAAATAGTTTCATGTTAGTCTACTTTATCAGATAAACCACAAAGTGAAATCGTATTTTTTTATTGAGTAATAACATTTGAGATACAACATTGCGTCCATAGACATATAATAACCGGCTAGCTTTCAAATTAGGTTTCGACACTCCACAATTGCTTTGGTAAGATAACAATGTTTTCCATTGAACCATATTCAGTATAAAAAAGCATACATTGAAGCTGATAAGAAAATTGTAACATACCTTTAATACCAATATGACGTCCATACATTTTAGCAATTAATAAATATGACATATCATAAACAAATTCTTCATTAGGATATATTAATAAAGGTAGATGGATTGCATGTGAAATAATGACGTTGTCAGATTTTATATCATCTAATCCACGTAGAACATGTGCACTTGCGTAAGATTCTGCCATTAATCTTGCATTTGATGAATTAATAATACAAAATTCTAATCCTGATAATTCTAATAATAATTTATTCCAATGTTTTTCAACATCAGGATTATTAGGAGGGGATTTATTCACTAGTACATCTAATACAATTAATCCAACTGCACATAATAATAGAAATAATGAAAATAGAGCCAAAGGTGGTCGACCAACCAAAAATAACTTGACATAATACAACTACAAAGATAAAACCAAATATTATATACTTTAACAAAAAAGTAATCAAGAACAAAACGATATCTTTATATCGATTTATTTAAATACAATACAGAATTATATCGCTACAATATTAGAGATCTTTACAATTTGACATTATTTCTCCAACAACGTAAACTAATCTTGTAATTATTGTGTTTTGATTGTTTTATATCAAGAACTCGCACTCTTTTACCAAGAGGTTCTTCTGTATCGTCGATCACTATATCAAGTTTATCACCTACATAAACTGTAGTACCCATCTTAAGCAGTTTTCCTCCATTTAACCTACATCGGTTAGAAAAAAAGGCATTGTCAGCAGCACTTCTAGTGATACCTAAACCCACACGAATAATTTTATCAAAACGTAAGGATTTGACGTATGATGAGATTTGTCGAAAATGTGGACTGAACGCCATATCTTCTGAATAATATGGATCTAATTCATCGGCATTATCATCATCATCCTCATCTTCATCAGCTAACTCATCATCTGAAGTATCAGAATCTTGTCCAACATGACGACATCCAGTGTGTTTCTGAAGATTTATTAAATGAATTGGAAGAAGCTTTTGAGTTGATGCCCTATCAACGTACGAAAAGCCTTTTAATAATCCACTAGGTCTCTTATATAATGAGATGCGTAATGCCGAACCAAATAAACCCCAACAAGAGTTCATTATCCATCAAAATAAGAACTAAGTCTGTAAAAAAGCAAGATAAGAGCAGTTATTGGAAATATTCATTAATTTTTTGGAGACATTGTACCCCTTTGAAAGAGACAGTTTATCCATCAGTTAATTAAACCCTCTCTTTGTTACAAAAATCTTTTTGAAAAATAATACTGTCGCTATATAATTCCATAAAATGATGGATTTAGGAGACAGAAAGCAAAACAATCAGATACTCCTAAAGACCTCCGTCGCTACTCTTTCTTTTTCATTAAAAACCACATTTCAAGTTGAGTGTCATACTAACATATTTGAAAAGAGGCAAATGAAACCATTTAGGAGTCTTTAACCACTGTCCAGAAAGTCATACTGACTTAGCGAATAGTGGAAAAAAACGTTTTCAAGTGTCGAATTATAATACTAATTTCATCAAGAGATAAGGTTTCAATCCATCTTATTTCATGTAGCACAATATATGGCTGCCAAACTGTACTTACTAACCCTACGCAATCTGATTAATTTTTAAAGTAAATAGACGAGCTGTAGGCACAAAGATAACTCATTGAACTTTAAGATGTGTTACACACAGTTGTGGAAACTATATCGGTATAATTTGCAAACCCCTTACAGTAACTCAGCCAACATGTACAGGTTTGGATGCTAAACTACGAGTAACGTATCTTATCTAAGGACAAGTGATGTTACCTAGAAGTCTAAACAAATATGAACTTGTACCTCAGTTTACTGTTGACTAACACCAACCAAGTAGAATCTAAAATTCGACAGTTAATCTGCAGAAATAAGAATTAGCATTGCTACTAGTCATTATTATTTCTTTATTTAATACAGACAGATTTCAGTACAAGTAGAAACCAAAAAAATGTGCTCTATATATATAGAGAGAGAAAATATTGTGAACAAATAAAAAGAAATTTAGTTAGGAAGAGAATAGTATACAATAGAATACAGGTAGGCTAAAAATGTGATCAAGACAGTTTTTTCAGTAAACAAAAATTATCTTATCTTAAAGAATGTAAAGGAAATTTACAGAAGCATAGACAACGGCCTCTACTGTGAATCATGTCTGATAATATCTAAGGTCAATGAGTTTCATTGTCTCTTGGATTCTAACTAAGGAGTCGAAATGGACCAATATACACCAGTTACATCCAGCTTACTTTCGTACTATGGTACAGTATCATAAATTGTCCAAATCTCTGCAGTTTCCACTTTATCCTAGTGTCAGCAACTCAACAACTCAGTTTCCACGGCTTTCGCATTCAAATTTCAGGCTAGTACTACAGTATCGTTCGAACGCACTTTCTTGGGATCACTTGATTGACGGCAGAACTCACATTTGATTGAGTTCGGGATGAAATCGATCTGAGTGTGGATTATCAAGAAACAGCGGTTTTTACCAATCTCTTCTCACCTTTACCCAGCTTTCTAATCTAACAGCACATAAATGACTGTTAATAGGAATCATACCAATCAGTGCGGCTCCTGACCCGGGGCTCAGTACTACTTTATTTATTTAAACACATAAACACAAATAGATATGCACCACATTGTCATTAGATTTGTGTGAGGGCTATGATACTGTTCGAGCGCCCAAACCGGAGCAGTTAATTTCCTTAAGGCGGCACACCTAGAGCCTTTGACCTAAAGGTCTAATCCACAAGGCAGTGGTGCAGCGTTAGGAGATGCAGTCCCATGGTGGCCGGTGGCCAACAATAGCTTCATACACCATTTGCTTCCTTAGGATCCTGGAGCCCAAGTGCAAAACTAGTTTAAAATCAAGATTTTCCAACTCCCGAGGTGGACCCATCGTATTCACTAACTCGGTTAGAGTACCGGACATCCGCTTTTTGTCCTCTCAATTTCGTAAGCAACACCTCAGCCGCGAGAAGGCAGTGAGTAGGACTTCCCTGACAGTGGCTGTACATACATGGCCATGTGAGAGCATTCCGAGAGGGAGGACGGACTCTCCTCTTTCAAAAACATTACTTAAACTAACTTGATTTTAGAAACTCGGTAATATTATAAGACTGAAAAAATGTGACCCAAAACAAAGTACACAAAAGTAACCTTGGGCAATGGTAAAGGAACTGCCGTCAAGGGAATTAAAGATAACAGGAACGAAATAAGGGAGACATCCATCACGGAAATAAGGTGTGCATTAAGAGGAAACACACCAAAAATATTTCGTCTTCTATCGTAGTAAAATCTGCTTAGCTGATGACTATTTTAGAGTGCGTTCAACCGTAAAATGAAAATAACAAGTGCCTGATATGAGATTTTAAGGCACCTGATATTAGTGGACTGAGATGGAGAGCAAAAATATCAGCCATTCAGGAATGAGCTGCAAAAACAGACTGGTCAGTAGATAGTGGCTCATCAGTTGAAAAGCATGGTATATATTTAAATGTAAGCTTATTTCAACTACGTTCTGCTTTATACCATGCTTAGTACCACGCACACAAAATAACTGTCCACCATAGATAACTAAGCAAGTCAAGAAACTTCTTAGACGCAGGAGAATGCATTGAAATGTGTTCATCTCTGCAGGCTTAGAAAATATATATTCAATTATTGTAGGACTAGAAATGCTTGTAAAGCGTTGATAAGTAGGATTAGACAGCCCCATGAAAAACAGTTGGTTATGGATTGTGAAAATAGTCCGAAAAGGTTATTTTCGTATATAAAGAGGCAAACTCAGGGAAGTGATTGAATCCAACCAATTTTGGCGCAACAAAATCCCTTGATGTTGGCAAGAGATGGTGCCTAAAAAGCTGAAACGTGATCAAGACATTTTAGTACGATGTTTTATACAGGCAATGAGGAACGACCAACAATTAATCGTGATCAGGGCCTTGTAGTTATTGAAAAAGGAACTGTGTTAATATAACCTCAACGTCTCAAACCAGATAATGTCGCACTTGGAATATGGTATTCAAGAAGTGAGTCCTTAAATTAGGTATGAGGCGGATATACTAGAACAAGTCCAACGACAATAGACCAAAATGGTTGAAAAGTCTCTCTGGCATATGCTATGATGAAAGACTGAGACATCTCAACTTCCGCCATCATATCACGGAATACGAGGTGCTCTGATGTTGACTTATCATATGCTGAACAGCGTCCTTGGTATTAATGTCTTATCTTTTCCTTCCATCTAGGGCTGATCACCTGTGAGGATATCCCAATAAAGTTCAAAAACCGAGATCAAATCGTCTGAGTCTGGAGTCCCGTTTTTCGCACCAAGTGGTGAATGACTGGAAATTTCTACCGGAATACGTAACATTAGCACCTTTTTTGGTAAATTAAAAACGAGACTGGACCTTTGCAGTGTAACAAATTACAAGGATTAATACAGGTCAACAGACTTATCCTTACTACTGAAGACTGGTGCTATAATCTCAAGAAAAGCAAAAGTATAGGACGAAACTATACTTAATCTGCTCGAAAATTTTAAAATGATCTGAAGTATTATGCATATTATAACATCAATCATCGATAACGATGAGTCAACAATTATTGATAAGCAAAAAGTATACAGCCAAACCGATAAGGAACGAAAATGCTGCTGCATGTTTATGGCCCAAATGTTAATATACGGCTGTAGTTAAGTGTTAGTAAGTAGGATTAGCGGTTACGTCTAAGATTCTCATCACGAACTGACAGCTTTGATGTCAGGACAGTAATCATAATCTTAGTCGCCAGAATAGAAGGTCATTTAAACGTCTTCGACTTTTGAAAATTTCCTAAAACGAGTCGAGACTTCACATTCTCTCGGCTGTATATTTCACGTTTACCAAATAATTTATGAAAGACCACATTGGCAACATACATTATAAATGGTTCAAATGGTTCAATATCCAAATAGTTCAAACGGTTGTGTATGGAATAGACTAAGCTTTCGCTTAACGAGCTTCCGTGTCTATTAGCACTGGACCACCAATACTTCCAGGCAGGAACCTAGGTACATTAACGATAAAAGAGGAAAAAGAAATTGGTAAACATAGTATTTTACGGCAGTTTTTATGCAGGAACCTCCTCTAGATAAAGAAACAAACCCAAATACAGAGTCAACAAATCACCTGCTCAGCATGGACTTCGATCAAGACGATGCACTTAAGGCTCTTAGCACCCTAAACATGGAGAAGTCAACAGGACCAGATGGACTACACCCCAAAATCTAGAAACATATTGCACAATATATCGCGGCCCTACTGATTATGATATTCAACATGTCACTTGACCAATGTGTGTTACCTATTGACTGGAAGGATGCAATCGTTACTCCCATACACAAAACAGGACCACGATACAGACCTGTAAGCCTCACCAGTGTTATAGTTAAAATAATGGAAAGAATAGTCAAACGCACCATAATGGCATGTATGGAAACCAATAACTTGTTAAACAGAAAACAAAATTGTTTTAGAAAGGGTTTGTCTTGTACGACGAACCTCCTTATAGCAAAGGAATTTCAGATAAAAGCACTAGACAACGGAAACTCAGTGGATGTTGTATATATAGACTTCAATAAGGCTTTTGACAAGGTGCCAAATAACAGACTGTTATTGAAGTTGGGAAATATTGGTATTGCCGGACCTCTTTTAAAATGGCTTAAGAATTTCGTAGTAGGTCGCAGGCGGAGAGTAAGAATAAATTCCAAGTGCTCCACCTAGAAACCAGTACTTAGTGGAGTACCTCAAGGTTCCGTCCTAGGTCCTTTACTTTTTACACTGTATGTAAATAGTCTCCCAAGAATAGTACAGACCCCAATGTTATTATACGCTGACGATTTAGAAATCTGGCGAGTAATAACTGGAGACGCAGACTCGTGCGCACTTCAGGCAGACTTAAATAATATGATTAACTGGTCTAAAGAGTGTCTGATGCCAGTCAACACGGTAAAGTGAGTCTACATGCACTTTGGGAATGCAAAGATTAATAGGTACAGCAAAGCGGAAGTGCCAGTACCAGTGGTCCGGTCTAATAAG